AGGAGTTATTTAGCATCATGCTATTTAGTCTCCATGTCTTTGTGGGTTTTGGGGGGACTTTGTTGGTGTCAATGTTTATTTTTATTCCACTTGGTCCGAGAAGGTGCATGGTAGAATTTAAGTCCTTTTAAATTTGCTTATACTTGATTTGTGTCCAATTATGTGGTCGATCTTAGAATATGTTCCATGTGATGATGAGTAGAATGTGTATTCTGTGGTCTTTGGATGGAGTGTTCTATAGGTATCAATTAAGTCCATTTGGTCCAGAGTCTCATTGAGGTTCTGGATCTCCTTGCTGATTTTTTGTCCTGATGATCTGTCTAAGGTTGTGAGTGGTGTATTAAAGTCCCCAGTTATTATGGTGTTAGAGTCAATGTCTTTCTTTAGTTTTCCTAGAAGTTGCTTTATGAATGTTGGCGCACCTATGTTGGGTGCATATATGTTTAGGATAGATATTTCTTGTTGATGGAGTGAACCTTTTATCATTATGTAGTGGCCCTCTGTATCTTTTTTAATTTTTGATAGCTTAAATGGTATTTTGTCTGAAATTAGGATCGTGACTCCTCCTTTGTTTTGTGTTCCGTTCGCCTGAAAATTTGTTTTCCATCCTCTTACTTTGAGTCTGTGTATATCCTTTCTAGTGAGATGGGTCTCTTGAAGGCAGTATATTGTTGCCTGGTGATATTTTATCCATTTTGTCATTCTATGTCTTTTCAGTGGTGCGTTTAGTCCATTCACATTCAGACTAATTATTGAAATGTGAGAGTTCATCCCTATCATGGAGTTCTTATTGAGTTGTTGTTCTTCCACTTGGTTTTTTCTTTTTCTTTTTTCTTTTTTTTTGTCTTTCTTTTGGTTTTGGGGTTGGTTCATGTATATTTTATTCTTTTCCCTGTACTCTTGTGAAGAACGTTGTTCTTTTTTCCTTTTCTTCTGTGTTTAGTACTTTCTTAACTGTTTCATGTAGAGATGGTTTTGTGACTGCATAAGTTTTAGGGATTGGATATCTGGGAAAGATTTTAATTCTCCCTCACTGATGAAGCTTAGCTTGGCCGGGTAGGTTATTCTTGGTTGAAATTGTTTATCTTTTAGGACTTTAAAAATAGGGCTCCAAGCTCTCCTAGCCTGCAGGGTTTCTGCAGATAAATCTGCTGCTATTCTGATTGGTCTTCCATGGTAGGTGATCTGGCCTTTTTCTCTTGCTGCCTTTAGGAATTTTTCTTTTGTGCCTACTTTATTTAGGCAAATTATTATGTGTCTAGGAGTTGGTCTTCTCATTTGTTGTCTTGCGGGGGTTCTCTGAATCTCTTGTGTTTGAATTTTTGTATCACTGATTAGATAAGGGAAGTTTTCTTGAATGATCTCATGGAAAGTTTGTTCCAATGTAGTCTCTGTTTCTCTTTCTGCCTCAGGGAGTCCGATTATTCTTAGGTTAGGCCTCTTGAGGTAGTCACTCATCTCTTGAAGGTTTTGTTCTGTCTTTTTGAGCTTATTTTCTGTGTTTTTAAGAGTTTGGGTTATTTCTATATTTTGGTCCTCAAGCTCTGAGATTCTTTCTTCTGCTTGGGTAATTCTGCTTTCCATGCTTATCAATTTGTTATTTATTTCATTCACAGTATTCTTTATTACTGTTATCTCAGATATCAGCTCCTTCCTAGTTTCTTCTTGTGTCTCCTCAATTCTTTTTAATCTCTCCATTATTGTTTTGATATCTACATTTGCATTTTGAGACCCTTCATTCTGGGGACTTTTCATTGTTTGTATTCCAAAGTCAGTTTTCTCAGTGTCTGCTCTCCCAGGTGTCTGGGAGAGACCCATACTCTTCTTTTGGTTTTTCTTCATTTCTGTAGATTTTTCTCCCTCTCCCCCATCCCTCCCCCTCTTCAATTCTGTTTTTGAGGGAAGGTGGGGTTGCTTTTATTTCTCTTCTGCAATGACCTGTTCTTCCTTATGAGGGTCTTCTGGCTTTGTTCACTTTTCCCTCTGCTTTATAGTCTGTCTATTCAGCAGTATGCAGTCTTGGTCCATTCAGAGAATCTCACCAGTTCACCTATGCCGTCGCCATCTTGCCCCGTCTCCTATTGCCAGGTTTTATAACAAGACACTTGAGTGATAATATCACTGGAAGATATACTTTTTAGCATTTGTACCAATTTCCAATAGAGCAAAAGTATTAAAAGTCAGACCAGATAAGTCATTCATTTATCAAGTATGTTTTTATATATCTACTTTTTAGATATATGTACTGGGCAATGTACATACTGTAGAAATAATAATTCATGAAATGGTAAGCTTTGCTCTATCATCAAGGTTTTTATAATGTAGTTTATTTCTCTCTTTCTTTGTTTATTTTATTTTATTTTTGAGTCAGAGTCTCACTTTGTCGCCCTGGCTGGAATGCAATGGCACGATCATGGCTCACAGCAGGCTTGACCTCTTGAGCTCAGGTGAACCTACTACCTCAGCCTCCCAAGTAGCTGGGACTATGATGCACACAACCACACCTGGCTAATTTTTTGATTTTTTTGCAGAGACAAGGTCTTCCTATGTTGCCTAGACTGGTCTCAAACTCCTAGGCTCAAGCAATCCTCCTGCCTGGGCATCTCAAAAATGCTAGGATTACAGACATGAACCACCATGCCTGGTTATAATATAATTTCAAAAGTAATTGTGATCTTTATGAGAGCATTTTGTACTTTACACATTTTTGTGTCTCCTCAAGTATCTAGCATGATGCTTTTGACAGAAAATTAGCCCAAGAAGCCATCATTAAATACAGACTATATAATAATACATCTTTACCAGTGACATGATTACTCAGGGAAAGGTGCTTTTTCGGTCATCTTACAGAAACTTTATTTAATAAATGTTCACTTATTGTCACTAACAACAGAATGTGGCACAGTTATGCAGCAAACCACTTTTCAGCCATATAAACACATCTTTAGATTGCATAAGGAAGCTAAAATATCCTCACAAGTATGAATGGATAAATTGCTTTGATTCAATACTTTGCCTAAGTAACTATTATTACAAAAGAAGGCTATCTCAACGAAGTGGTCATGCCTAAATTCATAAATTCCATTCTTTTATCATAGCTTGGAAGGAGTGTAGTTTTTTGAAGCCAGTCAGACCAGGTGTAATTCTGGTTCTACCATTTAACCTCTCTGGGCCTCAATGTCTTCTTGAAATGGGAATAATGATTATGGTATGGATAAAATGATATGGTATGATTATGGTATAGATAAAATGAGAGCCATCAGGGCTTCCCAGCCTTTGAACCACAGAGCCCTGGAGATTCTGTGAAGGGTCTGTGAACTCCCAGGTACCCACACAATACCTTTGTCTGTTTTGAACATACACGCTTTGCTTGTTTTCAAATGTATATAGATTCATTCATTTGGCAACTATTTACTAAGCAAAAGCAAATAAACCACATCAGTCATTCATGGGGACTCAAATAAATGAAACAGACAAATATCACTGTGTTTGTAAAACTTACATTCTAGTATGGGTGGGAAAATAACTATATATATATATATATATGTATATGTATATGATAAATATGCAAACATTTGTTGGAAAGTGGTAAGTATTAAGGAGAATACTTATGAAAGAGGGAATATGGGAAACATAGAAAGTAAAGAAAAGAAGGGGAATATAAAATATAAAAGGGCTGATAAAATTTTAGACAGGGTGGCCAGGGAAGTCATCCCTTGGGAGGCCTCTCTTAAGGAAGTGAGGGGATGAGCCATATGGATGTCGGGGGAAGAACATTCCAGGTAGAGGGAACTGGCAGGCATATGCAAGGAACAGTGTGCAAGGAACAGTAGGGAACCTGATGGGCTGGAGAGGCATGAGCAAGAGGGTAGTGGGGGATGAGGGTGGTGAAGGGAGCAGATCAGCCAGCCCTGAGGCCTCAGAAAAAGTACTTTGCTTTACCCTGAGGGAGATGGGAAGTCATTAAAGAAAGGGTTTGGGCCGAGGAGTGGCTTGATCTGATGAATGTCTTAGCAGGACCACTGTCTTGAAAGTAGACTGGTGGAGTAAGGGCAAACGAAGGGAGTCAGTGAGGAACTAACTGCAGTAATCCAGGCCAGAGATGAGGTGATGGAGTAGGGTGTGAGAGCGCACTGACACTGGACTGATTTTGATCGAGTAGGTAGAATTGAGAAACTTGGCTGGTGGACTTTGGTGGATGAGAGAGAAAGAGAGATGGAAGGAAAGGTACCAAGACATATGACCTGAGTGGCTAGAAGAACAGAGTTATAGCTGAAAGGGGGCTTGGGGATTGGTAGCTTCATTCTGAACATATGCAGTTTCACATTAGACATGCAAATGAAGGAAGCCTTTTGATGGGAAAAATTACAAAACTGTCTTAAAAATATCACTCAATCAAAGTAGCTCTTTTTCAGCATAGTCTAAATGTAAAACTATAATCATGTCTGTTAGGAGAAAGATGTCTACAAAACATTTTGACCTTGAAAAAGGACCTTAGACTGGAAAAGATTGGAAATAGAAATAATTTCAGGTGAAAATTTTCCTTTTCCTCTTCTCCTATTTCTTTAATACATGGTGACTTCAAAATTTAAGTCATTTTAGATTTTAAAATCTTAATTTTGGACTTGAGATTTTTTCCCTGTACTACATCTTTGTATAGAACTTTCTGGTAAGCCTAATAGGGATGGCAGAATTGGTTCACTGGCCTATGTGGCTTTATTTTGGAAGGAAATGAGAACGTTCATTTATTGTATGTTTGCTTATCATCTTATTTTTTGTGCATCACATCTGTGTGTGTCACTTGGAGCTGCTTGGGATGACAAAAGATTTGAGAGACAGAGCTCTTTGCTATTGTAGCAATTATAATGTGAGGTTAAGAAGCAGATGGTACACCTCATATGGAAATATTGCTGCTTCATTGCTATTTGAATTAGCTTAAGTACATATAATTTTATTGGCCTCAATCTGTGATTGGCCATTTCAACATCTGACCTTCTCAGTCCTATGCAGGGAAGTACGTGCCAGCCATTGCCTACTACATCCATTCCCTCAACCCTGTGCAGGAGTTCGAGATCAACCTGAAAGGAATCGCCATCGGAGATGCATATTCTGATCCTGAGTCAGTAGGTGTCTCCTTTTTTCTTTCCATCTGGTCCCTTAAGGAGATTAAATTCTCTTTTATCAGATGGCAGGCTCCTCTTAAGAGGCCTAACTTGATAAAGGGAAATACCAGTTGATTATATGACTTAAATCTCCTAATGTTTACCAAATGTTTCAATGTGTCAACTTACTATGTCAGTCTACATTGACTGTCAGTGCAAGTATGTGTGTATTGTGCTGTTGGGTGTGTATGTTTGTGTGTTGTGTGTAAGTATATGTTTGTGTGTTTCGTGGTATGTGTGTGTGTGCGTGTGTATGTGTGTGTGTATCGTAGCTAATTCCAGCATGAGATTGAAAATTATAAAGAGCTACTTTGCCAAGCAAGTGGACTTCCCAAACTTTACTTTTTCTCCCTCTGTGGCATTTATGTGTCTCTTTTGTCCTCAGATTATAGGGGGCTATGCAGCTTTCCTATATGAAATTGGCTTGCTGGATGAGAAGCAGAAAAAGTACTTCCAGAAGCAGTGCAATGAATGCATACAGCACATCAGGGAGCAGCACTGGATTCAGGCCTTTGAAGTGAGTTCTGGGGCCCCATGCTGCCCTCCAGCAATTAAAACCATCTGAGGGGAGGGAGAGTCTGCAGACGCACCATGGTGCTCCAGCACTTTTTTTTTCTTCCTCTTCCTTTTTTTGTTAGAGAAGGTATATCTGTTGTGCTATCCAAGATTGGGAGGTGAGTTCAATGGGCCCATAATGAAGAAAAGAACTGTCTGTGTTTCTTTGAATTTACTTTGGCTGTATTTTAAACCTGAGGTCATCCTGGAGTGTTTATCTAACTGTGTATTTCATTAGCTGTTTTGATTTCTTTAAATGCTATGGAAGCCCTCGAGGCAGACCCTATCATATGGAAATCAGAAGAAAGGCGACTTAGGAAGTAGAGGCATATGCTTTGCCATATGCTCAAAACCACGTAGAAGGGTTATGTCCACAAACGGGGTTTCAGCTGGAGAAGTGACCACAGTGTGTAACAAATATCACATGACACAGGAACAAAGATTAGAAAGCAGAGTCATTTGAAACTTTTACGACGAGCTGTGCATATCTGTGAATATCACCACTTTACTCCCCTAAAATTAAACCTAAGAATCAATCATTATATTCTCCAACATTTGTTTTCTTTTTTTTTTTGGCTATTTAAAATATGAATATGCTAAATATTAGGATACAGGAAGTTGGGAAGTTTTGCCGATGCACACAGAGACCATGTGTAAACAATCTTCCTCAGGGGCTTTCTGCCACATTGATTACAGAGCCATCGTGTTTGACACATTAGTACATGAGGCACGGCCTGAACTTGGAGGACTTTAATCTGTTTGTTATTAGACACATATCATATAACAGTATACCTAACGTCATTATTGTTATTAGAGCAGAAGCCTGATATTAATAGTCTTCAGGGCATTGCAGATCAGCCAGTTCAGACCAAAACAAGAGACATATGAACTTGGAAAGAAGAGGGGATAACACAGTTACCCTATGTTTTACAAGTACCAGGACACTACCTGCAATCTCCCAAGACAGTGACTGCCCTTACAATGAGTTCTTGATAACAGCAAACTGAAAGACTTTGGAGCAAGGGAAGACCATAGCCACACTGCAGGACACTAAGAGCTTCTCCTTCCTGTGTCAGGTCACTAAATGTGACTGCAGAGGCTGAACTCAGAATTTCTTGTGCAATTGTAAACACAGAAGAAGAGGGGTTCTTATCAGAGACATATAAGATCATGCTTCAGGCTGGACACAGTGGCTCATGGTTGTAATCCCAGCACTTTGGGAAGCTGAGGTGAGAGGATTGCTCCAGGAGTTCCAAACCAGCCTGGGCAACATATTGAGACTTTATCTCTACAAAAAAATAAAATAAATAAGCCAGGCATGGTGGCATGTACCTGTAGTCCCAGCTACAAAACTGCAGTGAGACATGATTATGCCAGTGCACTCCAGACTGGGTAACAGAGTGATACCCCAGCTCAAAACAAACAAACAAGCAAGCAAGCAAACAAACAAAAACACACTTTAGCTTGCAATGGCAGCATCTTCTAGACTGGTTTTAGGATATCTGCAGGGGTAGTCAGAGATGGGAAAAAGGAGTAAAATGATACCAGGTTTTATGGGCATGAGCCCAATTTGCAAATGGAAGACATTTAATATGTTTGTAAAGAAGCACACAGGGACTAAGCAATGTCAAGAGCAAGAGCATTTAAGAGGCTCAAATGTATGCAGAAAACAGAAAGATGGCTGTGGTACTCGATGCAGCAGCCTAAATACCCACAGGATTAGTGATGCTGTTGAAACATTCAGGTATTTTATGTATTCAGAGATAATGAAAAGAAGACCCACGATGTTAAATCATGTCTTTCCCAAGCAGATTCATCAGAAAACCAAAAAAACACAACCACCAAAAACAAACAAAATCCATGAAGGTATGAAATATGTGTTTGACCATTGGTCCAATATCTTGAGTGGTGAGTTAAAACATAAAGACCTTGGCTTCTTCAAAGGAAATTAGACAAAAATGATACTTAGGACAGTAAACAACTGGTGGTTGAAATGTGTTTTAATGACTGCAAAGGAAGACTCCAAGAAATCCTGAAACCCAAGAGAATATAAATGTCAAAATCTCAAGCCTAAATGATGAAGACTGTTGGATGCTCTGACCCTTTAAAATGGTTTAGTTAAACAAAGAGAAGCAACTCAAAACTGGAAGGTACTTTAAAGATAGATCATCAACTATCCCCTTACACACACATACACACACACACACACACACACACTTTGCTGATGAGGATACTGAGGCCCAAAGGGGTACAATGAATTGCCAAAGGACACACAGAGAGGTTGTGGCAGGCCTAGGACTGGAATTGCTCCCTCTGATTCCCACCCCAGTAATTTTTCCATGGTAGTTTTCAGACATTCTATAAAACTCCTGGGACATCTTAGAGATTCTGCAACATGCAAAACGACTGAACTCTGGTCCTGTATTAGCTCCGTTTGCACAGTGATGTTTTTGGATCACAGAGTTCTCTTTGTGAAACAAGTTTTGACCAGAAACTGGTCTTGATTGCCACCTTATTTGTTTGACAGCACGATTTTTAACTCTTTTCTGAGAGCAAACTCATTCTTCAAGGTTGACTTTATATTCCCATTGGTGTTGAAGATAATTTATAACAATGACTTCCAAAAATGATGTATGCATTTAGGGCAACTGCCAGCCTGCGGTACCTCCTCCAGATGGGCAAATTAGAAAAAGTCAATTCCTCTGAGCTGACACAGTCCTGTGAGTTCCTCCACTGTGTGAAGGAAAAGGTAGTTGTTGCTACAGATGCAGCCCTGTGCCAGGGTATTCATCTCGACCAGCAGACCTTTGACTGGTTTCCTGCCCCTTTTTCCCTTAACCAGGCATCCCCATAGAGTACACAATCTGCACAACTAGATCCAGGGGCCCTGAGCAATGTTAGCATTGCTGAAGTACACTTACTACTCATCTCTACCAGCACTGCTTTCTAGAGTGACGGCCCTTTTGATTCTTGACTCCTCTCCACGTGACAATGCTAACTTGGATAAGTTAAGTTCCTTCATGTGTGAGAAAGAACATTAATCTAATAAAATAATGAGACTTTATATCAAATCCCAAAGCATGGCGAGAAGGCATTGACGACTAGGAAACACTACAGTCTGACTGCTGGGCAGCCAGTGTGCATGTGGATGAGTGGGCACATTCAAGAGTCATGGCCTAATCATCTCACCTCTGCCATTATTAGTGCGGTGTCCTTGGTGAATTACTTAACTTTTGTGTGTCTCTGTTTCTTGACCCATATTAGAAACCTAAACTTCTATTGGAGAGACTGTTTTTAAGATGTACTGAATTCATTTCTTAGAATCCTTCCATAAGAACCCCTTACAAGTTAGTACCATCATCAACAAACCCCTTATGTCTTCAGTCTCTTCTGTGACTATCCAGTTCATCTTGCTTTACCCAAACCCTGGCTCTCCGATGATGATGCCACGGCCCCTGCAGCCCTCTCAAGTGGGGACTGTTCTCTCTCTTACCTTTTCTGTACCACTTGGTTCATTGTGGCTTCTAGGTCACATGTACTCCCTTTTCCTAAAGCATTGAGCTTTGAGTCTCATGTCCCCAACATTTCTTACTGTAGCTGTCTACCACCCCGGCTGTTCCTTCTCATTCTCTGAATAGTTGAGCTCCTGCCTCACTGTTCCCTTCTCCAGTATTTCTCTTGCCCTCATTTCTGGTGACTGGGATCCACAGTGATAATCCTTTTAAGAAGCGGCCCCTCAGTGTCTTAGCCTCCTCTTGTTCAGCCATCTTGTTCTCTTCCTCATCTAATCTGCTCATTTCATTATCCAAAAAAAGCCGGCAACCAATCCACAATCTCACATCAAGCATTTTTTTTCGAACTACTACCTCCTATTCTTCTAGTTTCCTTCTGTTGATATACCAGCCTCACAGTCCTGCAACCCCATGACTTTCATTTCATTGATCCTCTTACCTCTTCACTACCTCTAACCCCCTCAAGTCTCCATTTCTCTAATTACTCAACTTCAACCCAAGGTTGGTCATTCCATACACACCTAAACCTTAAGCTTCTTTCACACTTCCCCCTACTCCATTAACTGAACCCCAGTCCGGTCTCAATCTGCCTCTCTGCCCTGCTATGCCTGTCTCTGTGCAGCTGACCATGGCTGGAGGAAAGCACACAACTGAGTTGCATTTGTCAGAAGTTCAAAGGTAACTTCCACCAGCTCTGGGCACCTACATCTAAGCCATATCCTCTGTTCTCCCTGCTGTACTCTGGATGACCGGTCCAGGAGCCATGTTAAGGCACCCTTCTCATAAGGCTCACTCCCACAGGCAAGGTCTTTGTGCTCGTTGTAACCTCTGCCTGGAATGTTCTTTCCTTAGGTGTCTGTATGACTCACTTCTTCCCTTCCAACACATCTTTACTCAAATATCATCTTCTAAGTGAGACCTCCATAGATTCCTCTCTACAGGGTCTCATAGGCACCCATGACACTTCCTACTCCTCTTCTTTGGTTTCCTCCTTATTATTCCCTAACATCCTGGAGAGCTTATCACTCTCTGTAATATGACATATTTTATCTATTGTTCCCCTCTAGACTATAAGCTTCAGGGGGAGGGACTTTTGGTCTGTCTTGTTCGCTGCTGTTTCAACAATGCCAGGACAGTGTCCGGCACAGAGACACTGTGCAGTATGTGGTCGTTGAATGAAACAATATGGGAATGAAAAAGTTATTGACTAAATGAAATGGCATTTTTACCTGCCCTCACGATTTCCTTCTCTCTTTCTCTCTTTCCACCTAGATACTGGATAAACTACTAGATGGCGACTTAACAAGTGATCCTTCTTACTTCCAGAATGTTACAGGATGTACTAATTACTATAACATTTTACAGTGCATGGTAAATGACAACATTTTAAAAACCATAATAATGTGTGCTTAAAACTTCTACCAAAACCAAACTTCCTTTAATTGGGGACATATTATAGCTGACTTCATACTAAATCAATATGTCCAAACTATATTGCATTATTTGGTTACTAACCTATAGGGTTTTAGTTCTCACCAGTATTTAATACATCATAATCTGATCATTGAGAATGTGTGATGTTTCACATAACGCAGAACAATTTAACATAACTTCCCCCCAATAGAGCTTGTTATATAGAGGCTCTTTTGTGAAGGAAACAGGCTGGAACTGGAGTTCTGGGTGTCAGGTCCCAGAACTTCAAATTCGTTTATGAGTCTCTTGAAAATGCTCACATTCTTTGTTCTGTACTTAAGACAGCTTGGATAATCAAAACTGCTAAAGCCTTTATGAAAATATTTGCTTTGTCTTACTTTTAACTTTAAGATGTTTAGTGCATTTAGTATGGCTCTTACTTCAAGTCCTCTGGAATATTTCTCAAACTATTCAAGTAGTTTCTTTCATAAAAGTAGGCGAAAGTTGATGTATTTTGTGTAGAATTAATCAAATAAAAGAAAGGGAGCCAAAGTGGGGTTCTAGATTTGTATAATCTTTTTTCTGGTGCATACAATATTGCATTCTGGTTTTGAAATTGCTTTATTTATAAGCTAGCTTGTAGATAAAATATAAAGTTAATTTCAGTAGAATTAGCCAATGTTGTAATTTTGGTTTAGATTCCACGGAGAGAGAAACATATGGTAGACAAGAGGAAAACAAAATTTGTGATTAAATGTTTTTTTCTTTGCAAAGTAATATATTCACAGTTAGCCAAAATTGTTGACAAAGCACAAAATTGCCAAACTCAAACCCTAACAGTATTTTATCCTTTTATAGCATAAAATTTTTTAAAACACTTACTCCTTTTTTTGAAAAATGTAATGACTATTACAGAGCCTTCAATGCATTTTTTAAAGAATAAAATAAGAATGATGGGCAACTTTTCTTTTGACTTATGTCCTTCATAGAGTATCATCTGTTTTTACATTTGACATATTTTCCACCTTAAATTATAGTCAGCTGATTCTGTGTGTATGTGGTTTTAATAAATAGCAGAATTTGGGGAATAAATTCTTGGCTTTTAATCTACCATGCCACCTTCCTGGTTTCTTGTGATCCATTTGGCCTTTTTAAGAGCCATAGAGGCCAGGCGCGGTGACTCAAGCCTATAATCCCAGCACTTAGGGAGGCCAAGGTGAGAGAATTGCCTGAACTCAGGGGTTCGAAACCAGCCTGGGCAACTTGGTGGGACTTCATCTCTACAATTAAAAAAAATAAAAATAAAAATAAGTTGGGTGTGGTAGTTTGCACCTGTATTTCCAGCTGCTTGGAGGGATCACCTTAGCCTAGCAGGCTGAGGCTGTAGTGGCATGAGCATGCCACTACACTTCAGCCTGGGTGACAGAGACTCCAACTCAAAAAAAAAAAGAGCCATTGACAAGTAGCAAGTGGACTTTGATGATCTCACCTCTTTTGTGTCTCCTATCTTTGCCTCTGGTGGCATTGTTGAGATTACAGATTGCAAAACATTATTTGTTTTTATTCTTGTATTTGCTCCAAGAGTATCAGATCATGTAGATTTGTTGTTAGGAAAAAAATTCCACTGAAATTACCTCAAAATCTCCAAGTTAAAATTTCAAGAGTGGTGACAAATGAATAGTTAGGTCACATTTTGCTCATTGCATAATAATATGTTATGAGAAATTCAGTTTTTCTCAGTGTGCTGTTCCTGCCACTCAATCACATTTCTAATGTCGTCTGGTTACATCCTTCTGCCAGGAACCTGAGGACCAAACTTACTACATGAAATTTTTGTCACTGCCAGAAGTGAGACAGGCCATCCACGTGGGAAACCGGACTTTTAATGATGGTGCTGTAGTTGAAAAGTACTTGAGAGAAGATACGGTAAAGTCCGTTAAGCCATGGTTAACGGAAATCATGAATAATTATAAGGTAAGAGAGCCTCTACATTTACTGTCTATTTTAGGAACTTTTCAGACTATCCAGAATAGAGGCAACTTTTTTTTTCAAGTCAGGGTCTTACTCTGTCACCTAGGCCAGTATGCAGTGTCACGATCACAGCTCAGCACAGCCTTGACCTCCTAAACACAGGCAACCCTTCCACCTCAGTCTCTCAAGTGCTGGGACTACAGGCGTGTGCCTGGATAATTTTTTGATTTTTTTGTAGAGATGCAGTTTCACTATGTTGCCTAGGCTGGTCGGCAACTGCTGGGCTCAAGCAATCCTCTTGCCTTGGCCTCTCAAAGTGTTGGGATTACAGGCATGAGCCACAGCACCCAGCAGACTTGCTTTTATTTGTAATTTGACTACTGCCATTTTTATTTTTGTTACTTTTGCAAATGTTCACAAACATAAATGACATTCCCTTCTTTGTTTGATTTCTTTGAATTAAAATGTTTCCTTTTTTCTCTTAATTAAGCTACTTTCCCCTGATTGTTCTTTAAAATGAAATTCCCTTTGGCACAGGCCACCTCTCATCCTTTCTTGAGAATAGAAGGATGGCAGAGCCAAAAAGATGACTGGTCTTATGTAAGAGCCACATTTTTCTTATTTGTTACTTTATAGTATGTATCCCAATGACGTCAGGAATAAATGAAATCAACTGGTTGTTTCAAAAATGAGTTTTGTCTAATAATTGTATTCATTTTCTTGGGTCAGTCACAGTTTTCTCAGTCCCTTTCATTTTATTTTATTTATTTATTTTGTGGAGACGACATCTCACCATGTTGCCTAGGCTGGTCTTAAACTCCTGGACTTAAGCAATCCTCCCGCTTTGGCCTCTCAAAGTGCTGAGATTACAGGCATGAGCCACTGTGCGTGACCTTCAGTCCCAGCTTTTTTTTTTTAATTTTTAATTTTAAAGATGTGGGGTACAATTCAGGGTTAGGTATGCACAGTTTCAGTTTTAAAGCCAAACACAGTGCTGGGCCATCAAGTTGAAATGATCCCTGTTTTGAGGTGTGTCGAGTCAAGCCCTGTGTTGTGTGGTTGAAATGTTCTGCCTGATATGACACTGGCGGTACCAATGGAAAATGACGTCACAGAAAAGGAACCCCGAAGTTTCAGGCAAAGGAGCCATGGGCCCTAGAGTCTCACTGTCGGGGAGGACACCAAGAGCAAGTGACAAGGGAAAAACCAGCCTGTGTATTATTTCTTTTTTGATACTATGCTCTCAACTCCTCCTTCGATCCTCTTGGGCTGTTATCATTTGTCCTAGGGATGAATCCAGGGGGCAACTCTGAAGACTATGTATACAAATGAAAGAGGAGACCACCACCCAGGGAATCCATTTCCTTTCTCTGTCCTGGCAACACAAAGGTAGTTTTTGGGATGAACAAGAAACAGGGCAGTTAGGGAGCCCATGGGGACTTCTGAATGAATTAGAAAAAAGGAATTCTCTTCTCAAGACATTTTATTTCTATCTATCAGAAATTGTTCTAATAAATTGCTTTAGTTAAAATCAGACTCTTTGCTGCCATTTGTTAGCATGAAGGAATATGCATTTCTACAATGTCTACTTTAGGAATGGTGTCCCCTAGGGTTATTCAGTGCACAACCTGTGATACTATCCAGGGAGTCCCTGACCAATGCACCCTTACTAGACTGTGTTTCATAATATGTCAGACCTGAAGGACCATTTTCTGGTCCTGCTCCCGGTACACAGGGTTTGACATGTAACCCTTGTTGAAAATAATCTGAGATAACTGGCATGCCAAGTCTGCAAATGCATTGTAAACCTGCAAAACTTGATGAAATACTTTCTAGGAAGGAAGGGGACTAACTAGCTCTCGCCAGCATTCTAACCATCCTTGTGTTTGAGTCTGTCAAGGACGTGTAGTGGCCATCAGGACTTGCCTGCTCGTTGCTATCTCAGAGAAGGCAAGCCCTTTAGATAGTGCTGCTGTGTGTCTTCTTCTCTGAACTGTCAGAGTTCACTGTCTCTAGCCTTAGTACCCAGTGCTGCCATTATGGGCTGATGTCAGTCTGATACCTGTACATACACCAGCCTAGAGCAGATGTCAGTAATGAATGAATGAATGAATGGAGTAAAAAATTAGTGCGCATCAAAAATATATTTAGAAGCCTTTCCATAACTCATTAGTCACTTGTTATCCACAAATTTATTAAACCAAAAAGAGCTTAGGGCTGGGTGATTCTAGACTAGAGGTGATACTGCATTTTGATAGTTAAATGTCTCCATCCTTGTTCCCAGGTATTCTAAAGCTACTGATAGGAATGAATTGCAGTGAAATCAGAATATAATATTTTCTAAACTTTTCAACTCTGGCAGTTACCAGAAAAAGAGAAGAGTTCAGTGGTATAGATAAACTATGTTTTAATAAAGAAAGAGAACAAAATATTCAGCCAATCAGAATGCAAACTAAAAAGTGGCTGCAGCTGAAACAGACTGCATGTCCGTTGACACAGCTGGCCTAGTCCTCAGGGCAGTGATTATCTTTGGCTTGTCTGTCAATGATGGTTAACCCCAATGTGTGTGTAATGGAATCAGAGCAACCCAGGTTGGTTTAAAACATAGTACACTTAAAGTTGTATTTATGAAAGATTCAGTACTAATTTGTCATAGAAAATAGTGCATCTGGTTTATATTCATAAGAACACAGAAGTCTTTTTCCAGTACTGGATACATATTGGCCAATGTGGAGCATCTCTGATGGGCCAAGGAAGACCTTCATGGGTTTCTGGGATTATGTTTAAATGTAGTTTCTGTGTAAACATTAGTTTTTGTGTAAACTACATTAGGTTCTATGTAAACTACATGAAAACATAATCCTTGTCATATAGCATTATACAGGAGATGCATACTTAATTTTCTTCTCAGTAACTTCAGATGCTTGGGTGGTAAATTGAAATATCATATTGGAATTTTCCAAAATAACTGGAATTAGAAATCAATCTGTTGGTCTGTTTGAACTCTTCATGATTAAGTTAGGCCAAAATACTATCAGGGCTTTTAGTAGTCAGTGCATAATAGACCATAGTGTCATGAACATGTTCTTAAGTCAGACATTGTGAATTTGAGTTCTGGTTCCATCGTACACCAACTGTGCTCCTTTTGGGGAAGACATTTAAACTCTCTGCGTGTTATCTTCCTTGTCTATAAAATGGGGATTAAGCTGGGCTCGGTGGCTCAGCCTGTAATCCCGTGCCTTTGGGAGACTGAGGTGAGTGGATGGCCTGAGCCCGCGGGTTCAAGACCCGCCTGGGCAGCGAGACCTCATCTCTACAATAAATCAAAAAATCAGCCGGGCGTGGTAGCGCATGCCTGTAATTCCGGCTACTTGGAAGGCTGAGGCGGAAGGATGGCCGGAGCCCAGCAGGTCGAGGCTGCGGTGGCCGGGAGCGGCCACTGCACTCCAGTCTGGGTGACAGAGTGAGACTCCAACTCAAAAAAACAAAAAAATGGGGATTAAAATAGTATTTATGTGTGAGTTCTCATGAAGTTTAAATGAGGTTATGTAAGTAAAACTCTTAGAACAGTATCTAGAGGTTAGAAAGTACTTTTAAGCAAAAATGTTCAACAAGTTTTGGTAAAAGTCTCCAAGATCATACAAAAGTTACACGAAGCCCTGGAAAACACAAAAATAAAACAGACTTGACAGACTTCCAGTTTCTAGTCTGGCATGTAGGGAACCTAGACATTGCTACTCCATCCTAACAACAGTAAGTAGCTAAACAAACTCTTTTCAGATCTGTGCGAGAAATGAGGTCACAGGACAAACTGCGCCCTCCCAAATTGGAGCGACAGACAGGTTAATATAGAGTCATAACTTATGAGAGCAGAAACCTATGAGTAGAACTCTTCATGGAAATAAATTCCAGGGTAGGAAAAACTGCACTGTAAGTGAACGTGTCTGAGAGTTAAAAATTTCAGGGATCCAGTCATAGGGGGGCCTCCACACTTTCATGAATTTTACCTCCAGAGCTTAACATGGTTCTTACAGTGAATATTGAAGAAAAATCCCCTCATGCTTCCAGCAGGGGGAAGGGAAACACAGCCAAACATTTTGTTTATCTTAGCAAGACCTGCCATTTAGGGAAGCTGTTTCACCAGAGTCTACCTGCTGGAGTTTAATCAGAGCCTAACCAACTCAAGGCAGGGAAATGCCCAATGCCAGCCCTCTCTAGCCATCCTATTCTACCTAAGGGTGGAAGGACAACCAAGAAGCACTGGTGAAGTTCAGGCTCACTGTTGAGGGGCACAGCCCTTAAAAGGCTGAGACCTAATGATAGGACTATACTTCCCCACTTTCCTACGCCCCACACCTTACCACCATATTACTAAAGGACTTTGTACTGCCTTTCACCCAGTACATTGTGTCCTCCTTTCAACAAAAAATGACAAGGCATACTAAAAGGCAAAAGAACAGTTTGAAGAAACTGAACAAGCATCAGAACCAGACTCTGCCGTGCGGAGTCAGATATGGCAGAAATATTGGAATTATCAGACCAGGAATTTTTTTTTTTTTTTTTTTTTTTGAGTTGGAGTCTCACTCTGTCACCCAGACTGGAGTACAGTGGGCGGCTCCCGGCCACCACAGCCTCAACCTGCTGGGCTCCGGTGATCCTTTCCCCTCAGCCTTCCAAGTAGCTGGAACTACAGGCGCACGCTACCACGTCCGGCTAATTTTTTAAATTTATTGTAGAGATGAGGTCTCACCAAGTTGCCCGGGCAGGTCTCGAACCCGCGGGCTCAGACAGTTCACTCACCTCAGCCTCCCAAGGCGTGGGATTACAGGCTGAGCCACCGAGCCCGGTTAGACCAGGAATTTTTTATTGTGTGTATTTAAAGTATACAACATAATGTTATGAGATATATATGTATATATCTCTCATACTGTATGTGTGTGTGTGTATATATAAATATATAGTGTAAGATGATATCTATGGTAAGCCAAATTAACATATCTATC